GGCCGCAGTGCAGATCTCATCGCTGCTGGCTAGTTACTGGACCCCTCCGCTGGCTGCACCGCGCTGGCCGTTCTCTCTGTGACATCCCGGATGGGAAATCTCTCCTGCCCTTTCTCCTCCGAGCTAAATTCCCCCCGATAATCTGCTGCAGATCCAGGCTCCTTCCCTCTCGGGGCGCTGGCGGTGACGGCCGGTCTCTCTCTCTGCCCGGCAGGTGATGGAATCTGGGCTGGGGCTGAGGAGAAGCCGTGGGGAGCCCAGAAGTCCCCGGGAGGAGCAGCTGCCATCCCAGTACCCCAGGGGAAGGCGCCGAATACCTGCCAGGACTGCGGGCAGAGCTTCTCGGAGCGGGGCCTCCTCATCGTGCACGTGCTGAGGACCCACCTCGGGGAGCAAACCCTGCCCTGCGGGGAGTGCGGGAAGATCCTCTCCGGCCGGGGCAGGCTGGCGGCGCACCAGAGGGCCCACCTGCGGGAGCGGACGTTCACCTGCGTGGCCTGCACGCGCAGCGTCGTCTACAACAAGCACCTGGTGGACAAGGTGCGCATGGAGCTGGCCGGAGGGAAGCCCTTCAAATGCACCAAGTGCAGCGACAGGATCATCCTGATGGTGGAGCCGCCGGCGGAGCGTGGGAGGGGCTCCTTCCCCTGCCCCCACTGCCCCAAGGTCTTCCCCTACGTCTACCTCCTGCAGCGCCACCAGCCGCTGCACGCTGGGGAGGCGTCCTTCCCCTGCGCCGAGTGCGGCAAGAGTCTCCAGCGGCGGACCACGCTCGGCAAGCACCGCCGGCGCCACGCGACCGAGCAGCCCGCCCCCTGCGCTGAGTGCAGCCGGAAGGAGCGCCGGGAGAGCCCCGCACCGGAGCAGCCGTTCCCCTGCACGCAGTGCGGGCGGCTCTTCCCCCGGCGCCGCTCCCTGGCCGCCCACCTCCGGGCCCATGCGCGCCCGCCGCTGCACCCCTGCGCCCAGTGCAGCCAGCGCTTCGGCAGCAAGCGGGCGCTGCTGGCGCACCAGCGGGCTCATGCGCCGGACAGGCCCTGCCGGGAGTGCGGCCAGGCCTTCGGCTCCAGGGCGGCCTGGGCCGCGCACCGGCTGGAGCACGAGCGGCAGAAGCCGTTCATGTGCGCTGAGTGCGGGAAGGGCTTCAGGCGCAAGGACAGGTACACGGTGCACCAGTGGCTGCACGTGGGCCCCGCGCCCCTCGCCTGCCCCCAGTGCGGCCAACGCTTCCGCCTGCCGCTGCAGCTGGAACGGCACCAGCGCCTCCACCGGGCGCCGAGAGAGGCCAGGCTCAGGACGAGCGTGCAGGCCTGCCCGGCCGGAGAGCTGAGCCCCACGTCTGGCCCTGCCACCCCTTCCGCGTGCGATCCTGGGCCAGGCACCTCGCCGGCCTGGCCCGTGGTGTCCCCACCTGAGAAATAGGGTGAAAGGGCACAAGGCCTGGGCAGTGTCTGTGGCACTGTGTGTAGACGTACATTAGAGAGCGGAGCGCTCTCGCTGGGGGGAGTCATGGGGGCTGGTTTGGAAGGGGGTCTGGGCAGCCTGCATGAGTGGGCTCAGACGGCTTCCGTGGCCTGCCCTGGGGGGCTTTTCTTTGTGCCCCCCCACACAGTGGGAGTGGGTGACGGGATGGGTCCCTCGACTGCCCTGTTCTGTCCATTCCCTCTGGGGCACCAGGCGCCGGCCGCTGTTGGAAGCCAGGACCCTGGGCTGGCTGGACCGTTGGTCCAACCCCGTGTGGCCGTTCTGATCTCAAATGAGATTGACTCTGTGAGCGCCTCAAAGGTAACCAGGGGCTGCGCTACAGTCAGTGTCAAACCAACCTCGCATCTGTCTCTGCCGGGGTCGGGGGGGGGGGGGGGGGGGGGGGGAGCGACAGAGCTCGGCTTTAATACGGTTTTTGACGCTGTTTCCCATGACCTCATAAGCACACACGAGTAATAGAGCCTCCAGGAGCCTACGGGTGCAGGACTGGTTGGAGACCCGCTCCCAGAGAGTAGGTACCAGTGGAATCGCAGAGCGAGTGGGGTCCCGCGGGGATCTGCCCTGGGTCCGGTTCTAGTCAATATGGTCATAAATGATTTGGCTAATGACAGAGAGAGAGCGCTGATAACGTATGCGGATGTTACCAAATGGAGGGGTTGCAGGTGCTTTGGAGGACGGAATTGGAATTCAAAAGGATCTGGGCAATCCGGAGAAATGGTCTGAAGTAAATAGGATGAAATTCAATAAGAACAAATGTGAAGTGCTCCCCTTAGGAAGGAGCAGTCAGTTGCACACACGATGGGCAGCGACTGCCGAGGAAGCAGGACTGCAGGAAGGGATCTGGGGGTGCTAGTGGATCTCCGACTAAAAAGGAGTCAATAATACAAGACTGGTGCAAAAAACCCCCAACATTCTGGGATGTAACAGAGTTGGGAATTTTTCATACGATTTTGGATGAATAATGTGTGCCTCAGTTTCCCCCATGGGCTGCATGGTTAACGGCGGGGTGGGGGGAAGGTTTACTCTTTGCGGAAGTGGCTGATGCCTGGCTGTCTGGGGCCCGGAGAGGACAATGGCCACTCCAACTGCCCAGCCCTTTGGTACCTAGCAAATAACGACCATGGATGGCCCATCCTCTGCGGGAAGCCAGCCAGTAGTGACCAACTGGAGGACAAAGTATGGAGGGGGGCTTGTTGAGTTCTTACGTGTGGGCTGCTGGAAGCAGGGTTCCCTCTTCTGGACTGGAGGTCAGACAGGGCTCTGGGCTCAGGACTGGCCCGGATGGACTATGCTGTAACTCTGTATGTGAACTAAGAACGTCCTACACTCTGTTCCAGACATCTAATAAACCCTTCTGTTTTACAGCGCTGGCTGAGTCACTCCACTCTACGGCAGTTGGGGGGGTGCATTATTCCCTGGGGTGTGCAAGTCCTTCCCAGGCGTCCAGTCCCAGGGGATTCGCTGCCGGGGGCTCAGGGTGTGATGCAGGGGTGCTGAAGGCACCAAAGGTTGGTCCCAGAAAACATGACCTACGAGGGGAGATTGAAAGAATTGGGTCTGTTTGGTCTGGAGCAGAGAAGACTGAGAGGGGCCATGAGAACAGTTTTCAAGGACATAAAAGGTTGTTACAAGGAGGAGGGTGGTAAATTTTTCTCCTTAACCTCAGAGACAGGACAAGAAGCGATGGGCTTAAATTGCAGCAAGGGCTGTTTAGGTTGGACAGTAGGAAAAACTCCCTGCCTGTCAGGGTAGTTAAGCCCTGGAATACAGGCAGTTCTCGGACTTGCGACACAATCGGTTCGTGAAAATTGCATCGTAAGTCAAAACGCCGTCACTCGGAACCACAATCCGCTCCACTGCGGGACCGAGCATCGTCAAGTCAAAACCATTGTAAGTCGAATCAGGTTTTCAGTTCAGAAACGTTGTAAGTGCCGTTCGTTGTAAGTCGAACATCATAAAGTCATGGTCTGCCTGTAAATTGCCCAGGGAGGTTGGGGAGTCTGTATCACTAAAGGGTTTTTAAGAGCAGGTTGGACAATCACCTGTCAGGGATGGTAGGTAATGCTTAATCCTGCCTCAGCACTGGGGCTGGACTGGATGACCTATCGAGGACCCCTCCAGTCCTGCAGTTCAGTGATCCTGTGCTTCCCGTGTATTCACATGACTCCAGGAGCTGGGGATTTATGTAAAACACCAGATATTGCAGAATTTGTGCTAACGTGGTGAGTGGTGGCAGCGCTGCTGCAGCAATCAGAGAACGACCCCGTTGTGGGAAATGGGCGCTCGCCAGCACTGTCTAAACCAGCTTCCCGAGGCGTGTGCCACTCCACCAAACCCCCTGCAGCGGGGACAGGACAGAGGTCTCACTTCCAAGGGGCCTACCTGGCAGGTTCCGGCTCTTGCTCCCGGAGGCCAAGGGGCGTGTGCAGAGCCTGCTGGGGCAGGACGATACCCTCCAGCCGGCGCCTGTGTGGCCATGAGGAACAGGAAGCAGAAAGCCGGCGCATTTCATCGCCGTTCTCCTGGCTGCGGGGGCTGAAGCCGAGGGCTGGTTTGCAAAGTTGTTGGCAGAGCTCTGAGCTGCCCAAGCCTGGGAGCTGGGCTGAAGCTGCTTAAGTAGATACTGTACTACCCTGGGTGGGCTACATCCCCCAGCCCTGTGTATGGGAGACCCAGCCCCGAGGGTGCTAGGACCAGGGCGCCTCCTCCCCCAGCCACGCAGCTTGGGGGAATGAACCTGCAGGGAGGCGCTGGCCCCCGGGCAAAGCCAGCCTGGCAGCTGCTCTCTGTGTGTGACAGGCCCCAGGCTGTTTGCTCCAACCACCTCCCCCCTTTGCCTTCCTCTGAATGGGACCCACCGATGGCCTGAAATAACAAGTCGCAGCAGCCCTCGGGCTGCTGGGCCTGGGGCGGGGCTGTGATAACACACTCAAGAACGAGAGTGCGGGCAGTGGACTCTGGGTACCGGCTCGCTCCAGCCCTGCTCTCTGGCTGTCCGTTCTCCTGTCCGAGGGGCTTTTCCAGCTGCGATTCCTGCGGTCGGCAGTCGTATTGCTGGTGCGTGTCCCCTGGAACCGGCCTGCTGCCCGGGCTGCTGGCTTGCGGCAGCTCTCGGAGCTGGTAGGCATGGAGAACAGTGTGTAGTTATAGGGACGTTACACGCTCACAGGCAGCACCAGGACAGGTTCTCCCTCTGTCCCGGACTGTCGGGGAGAGCCGGGGGGCATGGACACACAGCTAGCCCTGACGCCACCCAGCCCTGCTGGCACAAGGAGGAGGGCAGGAGTGCTGCAGGGAAACTCCATGTCCTACCTCTCCTCTCACAGCTGGGCCACGATGCCACTAGACAGTCAGTTACAGGCGGCTCAATCCCCTGCTGCTCTGGGGGCCAAGCGGGGCCATTCACCGGCTCTCGTGCTTGGGGCAGTTGCTAGGATTCCTTACTAGCGCGATTATGCCTGGTGCTAGGGTCAGCCTGTGACCCAAAAACCTCTTAGTCCCACTGACAAGGGGGTACCGGGGGCTTACGGAGAGCTCCTGCATCTGGTGTGAACGTTCTGGGTCACCGAAGAATGTCACGCGAGGTCTTACTCGAAAGCCAGAGTCACACTGGTCCTCAACATCCCTGTGAAGTGTCTACACGTGCACTGCACAGAAGTTACGGGTCTGGGCCAGCCAACTGTGCTCTTCAGCCGGCGAGGGCGAAGTGGTCACCAAACGGCGCCATGCCTTAGCCGGTTCCTCTGGGCAGGAGCTGAGGATCCCACGTCTCTCTGTTGGGATGTAAGTTCTGCCCATTCACATACGAAGTCAAATGTTACTGAGGAGACCGGTGGTCAGTAGGAATGGAGCACACAGGAATCACCCGGCCCAGGGGTTGTCCTGGCTGTGGGTAAAGCCAAGGAGCTGGGGGGTATGTCTCGAAGGCAGAGGAGACACGCTGGGGTGCTGCACCCCGGACGTCAATGGACAGCGGGAGTGCGTAACCTGTTATGTTCAGTCTCTAGAAAGCATGTTATGGTTTGTTTTACACGTAACCATCTGTTTCCAGGGTTCTTACTCACCATCCCCTGAATCTTTGATGATAAACGTGCCCTCGTTTTCACTAGTAAAGTATTGAAGGGCTGTGTGTTCAGCTGGGGTGTCCTGGTCCTTTGGAAACAGCCAGCCTGCTCAGTCTGAGGAAGGCCAGTGGCTGGACACCGCAGGGACGCTCCGAGGATTCAGGGTTGGTGTGGGCCTGGTGTTACCGATACAGAGAGGGCGAAGCTTGTGGGGGCCTGGTGGGCAGTGATTGTGCCGTCAGAGGCGGGTGGGTTCAGGGAGCTGATCCACAGCAGAACCAGACAAGACTCCTTCATGCTAAGGGCAGGTGGTGGTGAGGTGCCTGCCAACCTTGGGTGCCCCTGGGGAGCATCACACTGCATTGTTGGGGACGGGGTTCTAGTCCCCCAACTGCCAGAAGTGACCTAGTGCCATTTCACCATTACCCCGGGGGAATGATGGTGCTGTCTCCTAAGGCAGGGGGATGAGGATCTGGTCACTGATTGGTTGTGAATGGCACAGAATTATTAACGCCAGTCAATGGGAGAGGAGCTTTGAATTCAGTCTCCAGGTTCCCAGCCCACTGCACCTTCCCTTAGGTTTGAAGGAATTTTGAACAAGGTGCGAGGCCCTTGCTCTTCTGTGCCTTACACTGCCAACCCAGAGTAGGAAGGGCAGCGTGAGGGGGAAACTGACTTATCTGCCTCCACTCCTGTCAAAATGGAGATGACCCTGGAGCTGTCAGGCCAGGGGTGAGGGGCAGATGTTGCTGTCAGGGTGAATTGATTTAAATCAGAGCAATTTAAATCATCAGTTTTAATCATGATTGAAATCAGCAGATAGTAAACCTTGATTTCAACCCTCAGCTTAAACCACTAATTTAGTCCTCTTGCGTTGTCCTTTTTAGTCCTTTCCCTAAAGAAAGGTTGAGTCTCGCTGATTTCCAACTAAATGTGGCCTTGACACTAAATTTGTGCTGCTTTTTGCTACCCCCTGGGATACATTACGTCTGCACACATTTACTGAAGCAGTTATTATAACACTTGATTTACATTTATTCAGATTCTCCATTTTACATTTTTATTAGAAACTGGTGAATACACCGCTACCTCGATAGAACGCTGTCTTCGGGAGCCAAAAACTCTTACCGCGTTATAGGTGAAACCGTGTTATATCGAACTTGCTTTGATCCGCCCGAGTGCGCAGCCTGCCCCCCCCCCCCCCCCCCCGGAGCACTGCTTTACCGCGTTATATCCGAATTCGTGTTCTATCGGGTCGCGTGATATCAGGGTAGAGGTGTACAACATTTCTAATTTACTAGATTAATTTATTTTCGATTTGTGTCAAGCTCTCCTTGATTCAAATCAGGGATTTGGAGCAATCAAATTTTTGAATTTCTCTGCTCCAGCTCCAATAGTGACTGCTCCAGCTCCGCTCCACGCTCCGACTCAAATGAATTTTTAACTAAATAAAAAAGTGCATACTGTAATTTTGAAAAAAACATTATTTTTATTCAGACTTTTAAAACAATTTAAATGTCATCAACAATGATACAAACTAGAATCATTCATAATTCATTCTGTAAAAAATTATTGCAGCAATCAAGTCGTCTTTCCTAGCCTGCCGCAAATCATTTAAAATTAATTTTAAAGCTGAAACCAGTCGCTCTACACTAGCTTGAGTTGTTGGCATGCTCGAAGCAATTCTACAGGCAGCCTGAATGCGGTGTGGGTAGCTGTGAATGGCCTCAAAAACAGACTTAACTTTTAGCCTACCAATAGACTCCATCGCCTCACAATCTTCCCGAAAGTTTCTCTCGAATAATGCTTCATTACAATTATGGATCGCAGAAACTCGCCGGTGTCTTTCTTGTTTATCCAATTCCTTTTCGAAGTCGTCATCGTCTGAAGAATTGATGCTTGAATTATCTCCATTTCCCCGTGATGGTTGAAGATGTCTCAGGGATGGACGCTCGAACAAGTTCAGAGTGGAGACAGAAGTTTGAGAACAGCCTCCTATTTCTGAAGGATGTGAACTTTCCGAAACCGCAAATTCAATTGTTGATGACTCCTTTTGTTGTGTTTCGTTTTCTTCAACCTCTTTCGCCGAGTTCAAATGTAGCAATAGATTTTGTTTTTCGAGTCGTCGAGCAATATCAAGGAGCCCTTCCTTTGCCTTTGGTATTTCCCTTGAGGTAAGAAGAATCCGATACCGTGGGTCAACATAAACTCCAGCAAGGAAATGAATATTGTCAAAAAGTTTCTCTTCATGTTTCTGCATGGAGGATAGAATTCCTTCTGCAATTTGTCCACCATTTT